TATATATATATATATATATATATCATTAGCTTATAGGACTCCTATGATAGACGACTTGCTTATAACATCATTGTACAGTTTGATCTTCTAATTAAGCCGCGCCATGGTCTTTATTGGATATTCATTGACTGTTGTTACTCTTCTTAATTCTTAGTTTGTGATTTAACTCTTCACGTAATTATTTGCAGATCAAGTAATCTGAAAAGTCTTGGACTTTCAATCTATGAACCAATGACGAACAAAGGAGTTATGAACGGGATCGCAAAATTTCCATTGCTTGAAACCCTCGAGGTCTTTCACTCATCGCTTAAACTGGATTTGAAAGCTATAGGCCACGTTTGCCCACAGCTAAAGACATTGAAGCTAAACTCCTTATGCTGCCCAGGGCCGGCCCATGGCAATTATGCCATAAGCCAGTTAGGCGACATGCCCCCTCTCGTCGAATGTGATGATGATGCTCTAGCAATCGCTGAAAGCATGCCCAAACTACGCCACCTCCAGCTTATGGGGAACGGACTAACCAATACAGGCTTGAATGTCATTCTCGACCGCTGTCCTCACCTGGAACACCTTGATGTACGCAAGTGTTTCAACATGAACCTTGTCGGGAATCTTGAGAAGCGATGTTTGGAGAGGATCAAAGAGTTGAGACGCCCCGGTGACTCAACCGCCGATTACCCATATAATATCGGTGTGTCAGTTATGCTTCAGATCATGATTTCATGCCGATTCTATCCGAGTCACAGGGTTGCTTCTTGATGGTCTTGTCAACTTATTAACTCGATCATGTCTCCTCTTTTCTCTATGATGCCAGTGACTATTATTGGTATTAGATACTGAATCTTTCTGAACAATGCAGAGAACATGTGGTTTTTGTTGGTTTTGTCAACTTATGAACTTGTTCATGTCTCCTCTTATTTTCTCTGTCCTTTTATTTCCTTCTTAACTTTTTAAGCTTTGAGCGCGTGATTGTAGCTCGCTAAATGCAGTGGTTTTTCATAAGTGGGTTTGTTAAGAAAGATCGGTTGTTTAGTTCTTACTTTACTTTCCTCTTTCATTTGTTTCTACTTTAAGCCGTCGTCTTCTTCGTCATTACCTCCGGCGATGAAGGAAAGAGGATATAGAAACTTGGCGGAGATACTGGAAAATGCTCAGAAAGTGTGTAGATCGTGGCGTGGAGTCGTCTTTAAAGACCCTTGGATGTGGCGGAGGATTGACTTAAGTAACCGCAGAAGCTCGATATCATGTGTCGTCACGCTGTTGATCGTAGCCAGGGAGGCTTGGTTGAGATCAACATTTGGAACTATGGTATAAAATCTTAGCATTAAAACCTAAAAAAATCAAATCGAATTATACTTTTACTTAAATAGAAAACGAGTACAAAAACATTAGCGCGTGAGTGTATTTGCCTAATTATACGTGGCATGAATTGTACTGTATACTACGATGACCAAATGTTGACTTAGAGACAAGCCGAAAGGTCCAAAACTACACATCACTTCTTATTCACAGATTTGACCTAATTTTATCCTCAAAAATGACAACCTCCGCTTTTTCAAAAAAGAAAATGAAAACCTCCTCTCCGTCGCCGATGAAAGACGAAGAGCCAAGAAACTGGGCGGATCTTCCGTCGGAGTTGACGTCTTTGATCCTGATCCGTCTTAGCGTGGCTGATATTCTGAACAACGCTCAGAAGGTGTGCAGACCGTGGCGACGCGTCTGTAAAGAACCTTCGATGTGGCGGAAAATCGACATGAGAAACCTGATCAGAGATAGGGGAATGCTCGACCCCTTGGCTATCATGTGCCGTCACGCCGTTGATCGCAGCGAGGGTGGTTTGGTCAAAATCCACCTTGGGAACTTCGTCAACGATGATCTTCTCGACTACATCGCTGATAGGTTACCTATCTTCTCTCTATCCCTTACCATTCGCTATGTTTTAATTGTTTCATGGGAATCTCTCCAAATACTGTTTTGTTTAGAGAAATTGGTGGCTTTAGACAAAAGATATGTGTCGATATATATATTTTTGAGTGAGGCAGAAATATCTGAAATGTGTTTGTTCCTTTTTTTTTCGTGAGGATTAGGGCAAAACTTTGTTCATCTATAATCGTTGATTATAAATAAAAATATTATGAACAAAATTTTGCCCTAATCCTCATAATCGTTGATTATAAAAAAAAATATAGATCCCCATTTATAATCGTTGATTTTTATTTTTATTTTGTTTATCACTCGTGTTAATGAAACTCCACTTATCTTGTCTTTTTATTCCCTTTTACTGGATTTGCTATGAATGCACTTTGGATATTCAGTTACTCTTACTCGAGAATGTATGTCTTGCAACTTAAAGTTTTCTTCTAATGTACTCTACGTCTGGTATGAATGCACTCATGTTTGCAACTCAATGTTCATGCCTTTATAATATTTTAGGAGTAAAAAAAAAATCCGTTTTATTTTGAAGTCACTGTTGATATGATGATGTTATAATAGGCCTTAGTTCTCACATTGTTCGATCGAGTCTTGATTTGTTTCACATCGTTACTGTCATATCATACATAATTACTTCTCCTTTGTCATGGTTAATAATGAAAACAAGTAGTTAGGTTATTAGCATTATAAGAAGATTAAGAACTTATACAATTCTTATCATAGACTTGCTTAATGCATCTTTAGAGTTTTATCTTTTAGGTCCCAATTGAAACAAATGGTTTGCTCTTCTGTGCTCTTCTTATTTACATGCTTCTGAGTTGATTAGTACTATGAAAATTTCTTATGTTCTTTTTTATTATTATTCTTCTTCATATCGTTTATGATGTAATTCGACACACGCGCGATTATATATTTGTAGGTCAAGGAATCTGAGAAGTCTTGGACTTGGAATGTGCTTTCCAAGGGTGACGAGGCCAGGACTTATGAATGCAATCACAAAAATTCCATTACTTGAAACCCTCGAGGTCTCACACTCATGTTTAAACCTGAGTTTGGAAGATATAGGCCACGCTTGCCCACAGCTAAAGACATTGAAGTTAAACTCCTCAGGGGGTTTCTGGAACTCTCGCAATGATGATGATTATGCCCTAGAAATCGCTGAAAGCATGCCAGAACTACGCCACCTCCACCTTTATGGGAACAACCTAAGTGATACACGCTTGTATGCCATTCTTGATGGTTGTCCTCACCTGGAACGAGTGTTTACAAACGTGCTTCCAGCTTAAACTTGTCGGAGATCTGGAAGATGTTTTGAGAGGATCAAATACTTTAGACACATCAAATCATGACTCAACCTTTGATCACCCATTTGATATCACTTTTGTCAATGACTTGGACAACATTGAGGTTTAATATGACTTTTATTGGGACTAGATAGTATATATATCTTTGAACACAAGTTGCTTTTTATGGTCATGTCAGTATGTCACATAATGAACTTGTTCATGTCTCCTCTAGTCCTCTTTTCTCTATGTTGGTTTGGTAGTGTTTCAAAGTCCCTTATTTTCTTTGTACATTTTAAGTTTGTAGCGCGTGATTGTAACTCGCGTACGATGCAGAAGTTGTTTCTTAAGAAAATGTTTTCACAAAACACACTTTTTAAAGTGTTTCTTCTGACTTTTGGACAAAATCAAAATGAGTTCTCATGGATTAGCCAAATAGTATATTATTTTGACCAAAATACATTTTTAACTAAATGAACACAACTATTCTCTCATCTTCTTCTAGCTATCTTCCCCACAAAAAGAGAACAAATATAAAATTTATGAAGATAAAATAGTAATAATAAAAAGAATTTTTTTGGCTTAGAGCCTAAACCAAAAAAATAAAAGAACTAAAATAAATCAGTTTCTTAATTTTTTCTGTTTTCTTCTCTCACTTTCTTTCATTGTTCTGATTGACATTGAAAGAAAGTGAGAGAAAAAAAAATTGATACTGATTCTAAAACAATTTTGTTTGAAATTGAAAAATGCCTTGCCTTCCATGAATTTAAATAATGGTTGAAAACTAGTTTATGTTATCGTAAAAAAACAATTAGAAAAAACCTTTGTCATGGTTAATGAAAAGAATTAGTAGGTTAATTAGCAGAAGAAGATCATTTGTTCATAGAACTCTTGTACAAGACTGGCCTACAAAATTGCATCATGACTTCAAAACAGACACTGAAATCAACACGCGTTCCAACAAGTTCAAAATAATTTCAAAAGAATTTTCTTCATAGTTGATACTTGATAGCATGCCCAAACTCGCTTGTTTTGTCTATGATGTGGTTTTTGTTGGTCTTGTCAATTTATGAACTAGTTCATATCTCCTCTTTTCTCTATGTTGGTAGTTTCAAATTCCTCATTTCCTTCTGATTTTTAAGAACTTTATCCAACTTATTACTAACTAAATCCTCCTCTCGCTTGTTACTCCACGTGAATAGCGGACTATGAGTCCTCATATCCACTAAAGAACAATACCGCGTACACTACTTCTTGGAAATCTCGCATGACCGAAGTAACCAGAAGAGAGAAGAATCGGATCGTGTTCTTCAAAGTCAAGCGTCTCATTGAACTCGCCTAGAATAATTCACGGTTTGCCCCGAAACGATGAATACAATTTATTCATTTAACTAACCATATTTTTTATTTATTGATTATTTAATTATATCAAAGTTAACATATTTTTAAAAAATATAATTGATGATAAAGCATTAACAAAACCGAACCTAATTCTTTTAAATCTATATTTTGTTGGATAAGTTTGATTTTTTTCCTGCTAGATAGATTACTATATAAAACTTTATTTGGTAGAAAATCTTAACATTAAAACAAAAACAAAAAATCAAACGGAATTATTATTTTTACTTAAATAGAAACGAGTAAAAAAAAAAAACGAGTCCAAGATTGTTCATGACGATATCAGTGATGTGGTAGCAAAAGTGTTTATGAGCGCGTGTATTTACCTAGGCCTTAGAAAATCAAGCAAACATTAGCGCGTGAGTGTTATCTGCGATATATGCGGCTGGTCTTGCTTGATTCTTCAGGAGTATTGAGACCTAATTAGACGTGGCATGAATCGTACCGTAGACACATAATACTACGATGACCAAATGTCCGAAACAATACACTTCACTTCTTATTCACTAATTTGACCTAATCTTATCCTCAAAAACGACAGCCTCCTCTTTTTCAGAAAAGAAAATGACAGCCTCCTCTTTTTGAGAAGAGAAAATGACAACCTCCACTACGTTGCAGTCGTTGATCATGAAAGAAGATGAAGAGCGAAGAAAAGAGCAACGAAACTGGTTGGATCTTCCGCCGGAGTTGACGACTTCGATCCTGCTCCGACTTAGCGTGACTGATATACTGGATAACGCTCGGAAGGTGTGCAGACAGTGGCGACGCGTATGTAAAGACCCTTCGATGTGGCAGAAAATCAACTTGCGAGACTGCCTATTCTATCGGTTCGATTTCGAGGGCATGTGCCGTCACATTGTTGATCTCAGCCAGGGTGGATTGCTAGAGATTAACATTGAACATTTCGTGAGCGATTCTCTCCTGAGCTACATCGCCGATAGGTTCTCTCTCTCTTCTCTCTATTCCTTTCGCAAGCTACGTTTGAACTGTTTGTCATGGAAATCTCCAAATGCTGTTTAGAGAGATATTACTTTTATTTGATTTCACTGATCTGTGAATTAGACACAAAATGTCCCAGTAGTATATATATTTTGACTGATAAGAAATCTCTGATATGTGTTTGTTCCTTTTTCTCCTGAGGATTAATTAGGACAAAGTTTTGATAATTTATAATCGTTGTTTTTTTTTTTTTGTTAATCATGTGTTAATTAAACTCAGTTTATCATGTCTTTTTAATTTCCTTTTACCTGATCTGGAGATCTGCAATAAATGGACTTTGGATATTCATTTACTCAAAGTTTTCTTTTAGGTACTCTACGTTTGGGGTTTGATATGCACTGATATGAAGGCTAATTTTCATGCCTTAATAGTCTTTTAGAGTAAATCGTT